TCATAATAATAATAATAATAATAATAATAATAATAATGACAATAATGATAATAATTTAGAAAAATTTAAATGGAAAAAAAATTCCCGTACGCCCCCCAACCTAAAATTAATTTTAAATACCGGAAAAGAAATTTTTTTTTTTTTTTTTTTTTGGATTTAACCGCCGTTTTCCACAATACAAAAAATCGAAACAAATAAGAAAAGAGAGAGAGAGAGAGAGAGAGACTAGAATCTTATAGTAAGATTATAAGATTTTTAAAAAGAGATGGAAAATATAAAAAAAAAAATGGAAAAATTTTTTATGTATTGAGATTCGTCTCAATAAATAAATAGACAGACCTTGGGGGTAATCCGACCCTGATCCGTAATACCGTCGCAGTTTATAGGAGCCGATTTACGTGCGAGAAACCACGTTGTATCACCTAATATTCCCCTCCCCCCCTCTCTCTCTCTCTTTTTCTTCTGCTTCTTTTTTTTTCATTCTCGAGTTCGAGAAAAGAAAAAAAAAAAAAAACCATTCGAACAATGTCGCATCTGGCTAAATTTAATTAATTAATTTATTTATTTATTTAATTTTCATTTATAGTAATAGTCAAAATGTTTTTTGTTTCGTATCGTTTCGTTATTTTCGGGGGAAACCCCTCAACCCCCTCCCCTCGCGCCTCTTCTTCTTCATAATAATAATAATAGTTTATTTTTACTCAAATTAAAAAAAAAAAAATTACATTTAATTTCGATTTGGCCGAAGTTGTATTTAAACCAACATCTCAAAATTATTTTTAGCTCGATTCGAACAGCAGACGATTATTTAAGAAAAAAATTAACAATTTTTGCCTTACTTCTTTTTCGGGAAGAGGGGATCCAATCGACAGGTTTAACCCTTGGAGGTAAAAAAATTAATAAATATGGTTTCCATTTTTTCTTTCTTTACAAACCTACGTACTCGATAATAGTTTTTTGTTTTCTTTCCATTCCTTTTCCCTCGAGTGGCATAAATATTTAGACAAAGAGCAAGGAGTTAATTATATTGACGTATGTGAGTGACGGGGGGGGGGGGATCAAATAATGTCAAGAATGACTAAACACCGCACTCGATCGCACAATAAAAAAAAAAAGAAAAAATGAAAAACTTACAAACGGAAATCGGCGTTCCGAAACCAAAATCGAGAATCATATTTATTTTTAATCTAATAATAATAATAATAATAATAATAATAATAAATTTTTTTTGTTTTTTTCCCTCTTAATCTTCTTTTTCTTACAAAACTTGACCGTGAACTGAGTTTAAAATGGACGTTACGGAAAGTAACGAACGATTAAATAATAAATAATCAATAAACAATAAATATTTTTCAAAAATTTGATTTCATATTTACTTTAGATAGATTTTGTTGACCGAAAAGAGAAAGAGAAAGAGAGAGAGAGAGAGAGAGAGAGAGAAAAAAAAACAAAAAAAAAAAATCCCCCGACATCTTCATTGTCTCGAAATATTTTTACTGATTTGAGCACATTGACTTCATTTTTATAAGAATTATTATTATTATTATTATTATTATTATCATTTGATATATATATATATAAATACATACATAAAAATAAGACAGTAGAAATGATATACGAGAGAGAAAGAGAGACAGAGAGAGAGAGAGACGGAAAATGATGGAAACGTACAGAACTTTCGAAATGATTATTATTATTATTTTTTACTCGTTATTGTGTCCTATTTAAAACTTTTTTTTCTTTTTTCCATTTGAACATTATTACGCGAGATGAAAAAGAAACAAACGTCAAACATGGGTAAAAACAAACAAACAAACAAACAAACGAGAACAAACTTTGTTTTACGTGTATGTTAATAATACCGTAAACGTTTATTAAATTAAATGACAAACTTTTCTCTCTCTTTCTCTCTCTCTCGCACTCTCATCGAGGACATATTTCTTTTCCTTTTCGTCGTTGTCGTTATTTCATACGTCACGAGTAACATGTATGTAAATGAAAATGACCAATTAAAAAAAATTTTTTTTTTTCGCATGGTCAAAAATTACTTAAGTCCTACATATGCATTGCACACACGCACACGCACACGCACGCACGCACATCGCCATGAAATTTACCATTAAATCATCGTTTGTTATTCGTCGTAATGATGTCCTTCGCGGTCAAATTTTAAAGTTCGTTTGATACCCGTGAACAAATAAAAAAAAAAAAAAAAAAATTAATTCCAATTAAATTGACTGACTGACTTCTTTATGTCGCAATGTTAACAAAACTCGTTTTCTTCTTTTTTTTCTTTTTCGCCATTACTTTTTTTTTATTTAGAGAGAGAGAGAGAGAAAAAAAAAAGTCATTTTTCTAATCGTTAATTAGAAAACAATACTAATTATATAAATATTCATTATCATTATTAATATTTTTTTTTCTATGGTCCGAAAGTATGGTAGAAATTATAGAAGAAGAAGAAAAATTTCGTAATAGGAAGTCGTCAATTTATTTAAGAAGGGAGGGAGGCCATTAAAATTTTTTTTTTTAAATTTATTACATCGTTTACTGATAGTATGACGCTAATTCACATCCGTTAATGTGAATTTTTTTGCTAAAAAAAAATAAATAAGTAAATAAATGTATGTTTATGTATACATGTACGAG